TATATCTTCAGAGTGATTTAGATTTTTAAAAGATTTTTTTTTAAATGCAGTTTTTGTGGTTAGTTTATTGTTAAAACAAACTGTTGTACAGATAGTCCTCGACTTACGACCACAATTGAGCCCAAATTTTCCATGGCTAAGCAAAACAGTTGTTAAGCAGGATGTGCCTTATTTTATGACCTATTTGCCACAGTCGTTAAGTAAAACCCTGCAGTTGTTAAGTGAATTATACATTTGTTAAGTGAATCTGGCTTCCTCCATTGTCTTTGTCAACTGGGAAGGATACAAATGGTGATTGCATGACCTTGGGACAGTGCAACTGCCTGTTGTTAAGCACACAGTTTTTGATTGTGTGGCCATGGGAATGCTGCAATGGCTGTAAGCGTGAAAAATGGTCATAAGTCACTTTTTTCCAATGCCGTTGTGACTTTAAATGGTCACTAAACAAATGATTGTCAGTTGAGGACTACATGCATTATTAGTTGCTGCTATTAGATATTGGTCCCTCCCCACCTTATTATGCATCTGTTCATCATCCTGCAGCCACCTGACTGTCCCCTAATTTCCAAAAGGCCCATGCAGAGTTTCCTTGAAAAGCCTTTTTTAGAGATCCAGATGGAACCTGGAAAGCCAGAGAGGCTGCAAACCACTGAAGAGCTGATTGTGGGATGAAAAACAGGATATTTACACAAAACCCGGACACTTTGTAAGTAGAGTAAATGCAATAATCTTATATCCTACCCATGAGGATGTCACTGGTTTTTCGTCTTTCTCTTTTATTTTTAAAGCAATTTATTTTCTATCGAATTACACGAGCTTGGGAAAAAAAATCGCAGAGCTGTATTTTGGCACAGCTTGATCTGTATCACCCTTAATAATTATTTGAAGAATGTCCACTCTCAAGAAGGCAATTGTTACCGTCTATGACTTCACTCGCCTGATGAAGTGGTCTGTGGTATATTAATGCTTATGCCATAATGCATTTGTTGCTCATGATTGGGCTGCAAGAGATTTAATGATTTGACATCTTTGCCACATCCGGGGAACATCTACATTAGTTTAGATACACGATCTATAGATTTTAAATGGTGTGTTTTAGAATGAAGGGACACCACATTTTTCCAGGGGTGGGAAAATACTTCTAATTCCAAAGAACGAGTATCAAATATTTAGCCAGCAGCCCTGTACAAACCTGAGGAAATATTTAAATACTTAGGAAACACCCAGCCAATAGCTAATCTCCAAAGTGACAAACTGTCTGGAATTGTTTTGCCACTTCTGGTGCTTCCAGTGCTTAATTTCTAAAATAAGAGGCAGCTGCTGTGTGGATTGCAGAATGTATAGCCAATGATACGTTTTGTGTATATAGCTGTACATATAGACAGTAATGATACACCCAACAGCAGATGTTGAACAAGTATAGCCAAAGACAGCTTAAGACGTTCTGGTGCCGGAGGCAGAAAATCCTAATCACCATTCCCACTAGTATAAAATAAAACATAGACACTGAATATTTGCTGCTCCTTAATGATATTCAAGATACTCCTCCGAGACAAGCCACAGTGCCTTGCCTGGCTGCAGCTCTAACTACTCTTAAAGCTGTCCAGATGAATCTCAATCTGATCATCCTATTGGTGTTATTTCAGCCTCGAATTATGGAAGTTGAAGTCCAACACATCAGGCTGGGGGTGGGGGGAAGAGGAGGGCTTGAGCTCTAGATTAACACGATCCGGGGATAACGGTGCCAGTGACCCAATTTCCTTCTGCTGTAAATAGTTGGAACAAATGCTTTCTGAAGTTTATGGCTGACTTCCCCACATCGGGTGGCTCAGATCTGCTTCAAGGGTGAACTCCAAACTACCCAACCCCTGGGGGAACTCTGAATTCGGCATGAGCACCCCAAGAAAACATGTGCAAAGGTAATCGTAACATAGACATAAGGATGGCAGTGCTGAGTCAATATCGCTCTGTCGACAGCATCAAGCTTTGCTCTCTTTGCCATTCTGAGGCATGTGTACAGGAAGTAGGTCTTCACAAGGCTGGACAGCCAGCTTCAGGCCTTCTGGGGATAATTAAAGAGGAAAACTCAGACTGATTAACTGTGGATTCCTTGGAATACTTCCGTATACTTGGTCTCCTTCTTCCTGTCCTCCCACTCTGTTGTTAATTGCACTATAAGCAGTTTGGGATCCGAATATACATCATCCTCTCCATGACATCTGATGAGATGATCAAAAGTGTCAGGCAATCCTTCACATTTTTTATTAAATTGAATTTAGTGGGTGTTACTTCCAGGAAAGTGTAAAGGACTGGAATCTGAACAGAGCCCTTTACTTTTGAAGGAACATGATCGACTCCCTTTGTCTCCAGGCAGGTATATTCCAAGATGAGTTGGAATCAAACTGCAACCTTTCCCCTGTCCTTCCTTTTATGTGGAACTGGCTGAAAACAGCATCTAAATGTCAGATAAATTCTAGACAGTATTGATTCAGCAGCTCCCATGTGGTCCAAAGTCAGCCTATTGCCAAGTGCTTGGTTTATGGCCTTGTGTTTGTAGCAAGGTATACCAGTATTTCTTAACTTACAACCATTCATTTAGTGACTGCTCAAAGTTACAGCAGCACTGGAAAAAAATGACTTATGACTGTTTTTCACACTTATGACTGTTGCACATCTTGATGGTCTCGTGATCAAAATTTGGATGCTTGGCAAGTGGCTTATATTTATGACAGTCACAGTGTCCCAGGATCACGTGATCATCTTTTGTGACCTTCTGACAGGCAAAGTCAATGGGGAAACCAGATTCACTTAACAACTGGGTTACTAACTTAACAACTGCAGTGATTCACTTAACAACTGTGGCAAGAAAGGTCGTAAAATAGGGCAAAACTCACTTAAAAGCTGTTTTGCTTGGCAATGGAAATTTTGGGCTCAATTCTGGTCATATATCAAGCACTACCTGTACTATGGCTTTCTTCCCTGGGCATTTTTGAGGTACACATGGTATGTAGAAACAGAGGCTCCAAATAACACCTTATCACAGAAGCAGTGGTTTACTAGCTATAGAAAACAGAAATGAAAGTCAAGCTGCTTTTTGGGGGGGGGGGGAAAGAGCCGTTGAGCTTGTCATTTGCTTAATGGATACAACCACACTCTTTTCTTGAGAGCAATATGGAAGTAGCTTACTGTTGCCCTTTTAAGTTGCATCTAGCCAGAAGTCCTGAGATTGCCAAAATAGTCTTCCATTTGTGTACTGATCACCTGCTCAGCTCCAGAAAAGTTGACAAGATGCTGTCACTTCTTTAAAGGCTTCTTTCTGATGAGGCTGCCCTAAATTAATTCAAGTTCCAGTCCCATGAATCCTTATTTAGAAGCAAGTGCTAGTGAAACCAGTTCAGCTTACTGTTTAATTAGTGGAAGTCATGTTCTGTAGGACTTAATGGGATTTACTTCTCAATAAATATGCTCAGGTTTCCTGTGATAGATTTACTGAATGTGAAGCAGAATTACTGCAATACTGTTTCTTTGAATTTTGCAAGATATATATCATCTATTAATCCGTTTCTTGTTTTTAAAATGTCATAGCATGAACATAAAAAGCAAGAAGTATTCACTTCTTGTTATTTTGCTTATCACAGGAAATAAAATTATATACTTTTATTCAGATGCTTTTAAAAAGTTTTAGTCACTGGAGGTTTTTAAGAAGAGACTGGACAACCACTTATAGGCCCTATACTATACTCTTGTTTGAACAGGGGGTTGGATTGTAAGTCATAACCATAACAGTAACAGAGTTGGAAGGGACCTAGGAGGTCATCTAGTCCAACCCCCTGCTCATGCAGGAGGCCTGTATTAGAGATTCGAACCACCAAACTGCAGACCTTTCTGATCGACAAGCTCTGTCTTAGTCACCTAGTCAGGCAAGTCCTCCAAGGTCCCTTCCAACTTTGTTATTGTTTGTAAAAGAGGAATTCTCAGCAATTTTATTCAAAATATCATATTTTGATGCTTCTTGTTTTCACTGATTAAGGTGTTGGAAAATATGATTCACTCTTCTCCTAGAAAAAGGAAAAGAAACTCAAAAATTATTAAAAGAGCAGGAAAATTCCCCTAAAAGAAAATTAGCAAAAACTCAGGCAGAAGTTTCAGCCCCCACCTTTGTCAATGGGCCATTAAGAAGCTGAAGCCACGCTATTTTCAACAACAAAGGAAGAACAAAATTACAGGGGCCTGCAACATCCAACAGGTATGGGACACAGAAAAAAGCAAACACCCAAAAAGAAATCAAGCCAAAGTAATTAAAATTTTAAACACATGAGAAGAGATATTCACTAAAACACAGTAATAGCAAACTGATTAATTATAGGGAACGAACAACTACAAAGGGCTAGGAAAAACAGATTGGACTATAAAACAATTACTTATTTGCCAGATCCAGGACGGAAGTACCCAATCACAAAAAAACAGCATTTAAACACCATAAAACAATCACACACACAAATCAAAGGATTCACATGCCAAATCCAAAGAATTTCAAAAGACTTTAAAGGTCACATAGAAAATCAAAAGACGTTTTAAGATATAAAAAAGGGGTTTTTCTTACAGCTCAAACAGGCTAGCCTCGGAACGCTGTGCTTGTATTTGTTTCTTGCCTGCCTTCCTATAAACAATGAACTTAATTCTGCTCTCAAGCCTCTGACCTCCAATCATTTCGAAGTTATCTCCCAGCCGGGAGTTTTGAATTCAAGAAGGGAAAGCTCTGCCTTCCAACAATCCTAAAGGGAAAGGCTTCTTTTTCTTTCCAACAAAGGCTATGCCTATTTAGCAGGGAATAATTCCCATTGGAACCAATCAGATCTACTTCTGAGCAAGCATTAACAGTATGTCACTGTTTAAGAAACTGCTATATTTAAAACTATGAAGGGGTTGCAGAACCATGCTGTTTTTCTTAAAACACACCACTCATAGAATAAGATGATAGATTAAATTGGAAATATTACCCAGTCCTTAACTAATAATGTTGGGGAACTTGCTTGATCTGGATCATTTGACCCATCAAAGCAAAAAGCCAGCGCTCCTGTTTTCTCCGCTTTGATCCGTCCGGAGGGCTTCATGAAGGGCTGGAAGGTCGCGCTGGGGAGAGCGGCTCCAAAGGAGCGCCGATTTCCCCCCCCCCACCATTACTTTTGTAAACCGGCGGTGTGATCTCTTTTAAGAGACTCATTTGAAGTACCAATCATACGCCTCCCCTTGAAACGCTCACAGATCGCAAGATCTGTTCAAACATTATTGCCCTGGTCTAGACAGACAGACATCTCCGTAGATGAGTTGAGTTTGAAAGGCCAATATAAATAAGCAAAGCGCGGCAGATTTCAGCCGGACTAGGAAGGGCATCCCCGAGCGCAAAGTGGAATTTCAGAGCACTCACACTCAGGCAGGGCTGATCGCTGATTGGCTCAGCCGCCGGGCCTCCCCTTCGATCCTCCCTCCGCAAACAAAGAGCGAGTCATTCAAGGGAGGCGAAACGTCTCCCTGATTGGCCCAGCGCCGGAATGGGTGAGAAAAGCGCGGCGGCGGGGATTTAAGGTGGACGCGCGTTCCGGACTCTGAGCCCGAGGTTCGGCATTACGGCGGAAGAAGCGCCGAGGAGTCCCGAGCCGGCTTCTCCGACAGGGCAAAGAAGAACCCGCGCCGCGCGAGTTCCAGCTGGCCGGCATGGAATTGCGGACCTGAGTGAAGCCGTCCCGCCTTAAGAGAACTGCGGCAGCGTCCCCATTGATTAAACCTCCAGCAAGGGGGAAGGGCAGGTTCAGGAGGCAGTTTCCAGCAAAGCCCCCCCTCCCTCCCTCCCTCTGGATCTCCCTCCTTTCCCTCCCTCTCCCGCCTGCCCGCCCGCCCCGGGCGCTCCTTCCCGCAGATCTGTGGCTGCTTCTCTCGTTTCGTTGTCCCTGGGGGTGAGACCCGAAGCAGAGACGGGCCGCCAAGGCTCTCGGGCAGCGTTCAGTGCGGATCATTATTTATTACGATCCATTATATGCACATAGTCGAAAGGTAATTCCTCTCCTTTTGCCCTGAAGAAGCCGGCGTGGATCCGGAGGAGCTCTGCAGTTGGCGATGCAAGCCGCCGAGGACGGAGGCGAAAAAAAGACCGTGAAGGGGGAAGGGAGGAGGGAAGGCGAAGGAAGGGGGCTTCTTCCGTTCTGCAACGGGGAAAGAAGTCGTGGACGAGAGGATGGGGAAGCGTCGCGAGGCGCAGGCGGAGGAAAAGCTGGCCGGGATCGGCTGCTCCGAAGAACTTTTTTTGCTTTGGGACGAGGACGCGAGGGAGCCCGGGAGGAATCGCGACGCTTCGGAGAGGCGAGGAGGAATCGTCCCTTTCTAAAACCGAAGGGCCGCTTTAAAAGAGCAGGAGAAACCGCTTTGGGGAACCCTTTCTCGGCTTGCAGTTTTCGGTGGAAACCTGCACCTTCTCCCCCACCCCCCACCCCCAACCTTTCCAAAAGGAAATCTGCTCTGCCGCCCATTGGGGTTAGGACCGATTTAGGCGCGCTGCTGCTTGGGACTGCTCGAGAGCAGCTCCGCGATTGAGGATCGGAGGAATTAACCGAAACGATCCATTCTTCGATCCTGCGGCCGCCCCCTCGCTTGAAAGGCTGGCATACCCGGATGTACGAAGGCGAGGGCGGCGGGGGGGGGGGCTGCACGAACACGTGGCGATGGGAAAGGGAGAGGGTCGGATCAGATCTAATTATCCGCGCGGCTTCCAATTCGGCTCTCACCACTCCCAGCTGGAGCTGCAGAATATTTTAGCCGGAGGCTATACCCCAACGAGAAAAGCAGCCCTTCCTGCTCGAAGGTTGCGGAGCGAATCCGCGCTGCATTTGCATGTTTTCTCGGGGCAGGGCGGGTGGGGAAAGGGTAGGTGACCGCCCCCACCTCGTGCAGATTTCACCCCGCCTTTCCCGAACCTCTTTGTGTTAATAGTTCTTGGAGGGGGCGGGGGGAGAAACGGGCCTGGCGCTCTGGATTTGCAGGTACGTGGTTTTTTTTTTTTATATATATATATATATATCTTTATCCTGTAATCATCCACACCCTTAATATCCATTTAATTGGGAAAAAAAAATATTTTCAAAGAAGCAAAGTTGAGGGCTCCAAACTTTTTAAGGTTTTTACCCAAGATTTTAATACTGTGAAGCGATATGGCCGTAAGGCAAAACGATACAGTATTTTCTAATCCCGCCGAGATATTTAGGATTATATTCAAATGCAAAATCGAGCCAATTAACATTGCAAGAAGGTAGCAGGCATCGGTAACCAGAATTTAAAATTTTTTGAGGCTGGCGATCGAAAATATTTTTGACTGTTTTTAAAAACTGTGACAACATTGTAAAAGATTGGCTTAGAATAGGGTTTTTTTGCTATCCATATGTGGATATTATATGTGTATATGTCGGTATCTACCTAGTTATAAGAAATCCCTAAATGCTGGTTTTGGAATGTTGCCTGGTCAAATTTTGAACCATATTTTCAGTTTCTGCATTGCTGGTTACCCTAACAAGATATAAAATTGTAACGTTTAGATGAGAGTCGACATTTTGATCTTCTAATTTCCCCCACTTTCCCTTAGAAATGATTAAAATAAAAACAAGAGTAAAGGCTGCCTGTGTGATTAACAAAAGCAAAAATATTTGCAAGGCGGAGGTTTAATGCAAATAGATCTGTAAATAGGCTCAGTTTATTAATGTATTAAATATAAAACCAGTTTCTTTAAATTGTACAGAAGCAATTTAATGAGAGACTGGCATTCTAGATAGCCTAGAGATTCCTTAAATTTAAATGAAAGTACATTGCCCGGGAAAGGGATATAATTTTCTGTTAGACTATTAGTTATTTTTTTAGTCTTGGTAATAAGTGAGTTGAAAGACAATAAATATTGTGTAGATATTCCTTTAAAAAAAAAGACTTTCAGAATAGTTGGGCTTTATATGCAGTGCATTCATTCATGCTCACTTTTTGTCTCTGGAAACTGCCAGCAGTTGGTTTCCAGATTTTTTTGAATAAAAATAATTGTATGGCCAGCAATAGCAACTCAATTTTCAGATATTTCAGCCTATCTTTCTGTTTTCCTTTTCGGATGTTTTCAAGGGATAGTCTTTCCTAATGGCAAGGAAAAATCTGCTCAAGTGTATTTCAATTTGAAATTCACCAATACTTAATTTTACTAGAATTCTTCAGTGTTTGTAAATTGAAAGCAGGCAGTCTACTAAAATGTACATTATCACAAAATTAAAAAAATTCAATTATAACACTGTATTAGCTAAACATGTTAAAATAAAAATATTTTATTGCACCAGAATTGACTGGGCCATGTTCAGATTATTTAATTCTTCTTTATCCGGACTAAAACCCCATTTTAAATACAAAACTGTAAGAGTGGGATTTTTGTTTTGTTTCAACTGTGTAATGTGAAAATTTGCAAGCAAGTAATTATTATTTTATTTTATGTTTATTGGTTTTCATTCCTTCCTGAATTTAAAAATATATATTTAAGAACTGCAGTTTCAATTCTAAACAGTTTCTGGTGGGGGAACCCTCCCTCATAATGCCCCCACCCCCATTCAATAAGAATTGATCCTCAGGAATAGAGCATGTAAAGAATCCAGTGAGGGAGATAAAACCAGTTAAAAACTTGAGTGGAATTTGCTTCCAGTTTTAAGATGAGATTGTAGATTTTTTTTTTTAAAAAAAATCCTACTTTCCCACTCTATATTTTAGACCCAGAATGCAAATGAAGCTAACCGTTCTTTGCTTTGTTTTGTTCAAATGATGGCTCTGTGGCTCCCGCCCTTTTATTTCCCCCTGAAAAGTAACACATTTTCTGGGTGCTTTTAACTGAGGGAAATACATATAAAATATTGCTTTCGGTTGTGTGTGGTTGCAACTTTGTCCTTCCTCTTCAGAATCATGCATGATTACGAACTCTTCCTTGTTTCACATTTGTCTTGAATTAAGAAAAGGTGTTTCTGTACCATCCTCCCTTTTCTTTGTGCCAGTCTCTGCTTTCCATTTATCAGTCCATGTAATTATTTTGCGAAGTTTTTGTACTGGTATTATTCTTTAGGAAATCGAGATTTTGCTGCCTGCCCTTAGCTAATAAGTGCTTTTCTTTTTATGTATTTTCCTGACTGTGGCTAATGTTGCCTATCCTATCCTGGGCTCAGGATCTTGCTTCTCCCACCACCATCTATTTAAATTTACCCCTCTTTATTTAAATTTATTTTGATGATCTTCCTTTTTTTAGCCCAGTTATATATGGCCAGGATTTGTTTCCAGAAGCCTGGTTAGATTTCTGCAACTGGGTGTTAGGTTAGATTTCTGTAACTGAGTGTTAAGACATCTTCAATGTTAAGATGAGTTGTGATTGTCTGCCTTCCTGTCCATTCCCCCCCCCCTTCGTTCTCTCTCTGCCTCACTCTTTCTTAAGGGATGAGTTGTTGGAAGTAGCAGTGCAAAAAATAATTAGATGAAAATAAAAGATTAGACTAGGAAATAGGGTAGGGCTTTAGGAGGATAAAACACTGGGGACATTAGCCACACATTAATAAATCTCCCAAGATCTGACAAAAGCTACATCCAACAGACACCAACCCCCCCCCCCTTCACCTCCTTCATAGAGAAACTTCGGATCTGCTATATAATAATTTTTTGCGCTTATGCCTTGATCTGGAGCTTCCAGACAGGGTTCTTTTCTTCTGTGTTGTAAATTTCTGTATTTCTAAATTTCTTTTGAGCGATATTAACTATGGATGTGTTTGGGTGTTGTTTTTTCTTTTTTTCCAGAAATTTATTAAAAAAAGCCTGGTCCCAAATTGGAATTCTTTTTTGTCTATTCAAATATGGGGGGGGGGTGTTTCTCGTCTCCTCTGCCTCCTTTCTCTCCCCCCCCCCATTATTTTATATATTCCCTGGTTCTTTTTAGGCTTTCAGAATTGCAAGATATTTTTATTTTCAGGAGTCCTTTTTTTAATTGGTCCCCTTTTTTGTCTCAAGTCCGGAAGCTCAATTGGTAGCCACACTTAACATCGCCATGCGGTTTCACCACATTCTTAGGTCCGGAAAATTATTTGCACCTTTGTTGTGGGTGAAGATCCATATATTCCAGCCCTTTTGCAAGTGTGTGTGTGTGTGTATATGACTGACTGACTGACTGACTGACTAAATGAATGCTGAGATATTGGAAAGCTGAGTTCCAAATTAATCACAGAACATCGTTTGTGAGAGGCTGGAATAATTTCGTATCTTATGTTTTCTCGTGTTATTGTTCCCAGTTTATGACCTTTTCATGCTGTTAAAAGAGACGTCTTGCCACATTTAATTTTGGTTCCAATGAGATATGGGGGGAAAG